TCAAATGGATACATCCATCGAAATTGCACCGGTCCTCCTACATGAGCCTCGTATGGAAGGTGGATTGCAAGATGCTCCATACTGTCAAAGAATGAAGGTGGAAAGATTCGCTCTAGCTTACAAATGATTTCTACTATCCTCTTCTGCCATATTGCCATGTCATTGACCTGAATCACCGGAGCACACAAGGCCCTAAAGAACTCACTAATCTCAACAAGTGGCTCCTAAACTTGTTTCGGTAATAAATCACGAAATGCAATTGGTATAAGGTTTTGCATGAAAATGTGACAGTCGTGACTTTTCATACTGAATTATCGTGCCTCTTGTGTATTGACACACCGAGATATATTGGAGGCAAATCCATTAGAAAATTTAAGTTCCTTCAACCATTGACATATTGATTTTCTTTGATCCCTACTAAGAACATAAGTGGCCTTTGGCTTTTTACCCGAATTCACTGCTGTTTTCGGTATGTGCAGACTTTTCCTTTTACAATACAATTTTAGATCAAGTCTTGCATTTATGTTATCTTTTGTTATAGGGTCATCCATTATTGTATGAAGGATATTGTCAAAAAAGTTTTTCTCATAGTGCATGACATCTAAATTATGTCGAATCAAGTTTGTGTGCCAATATGGTAATTCCTAAAAGATGCTCTTTTTAACCCAATTGTGCATTTCACCAAATCCGTGGATTTCCTGTTTCTGAGGTGGCTTACCAAATAGTACATTAGGCAGCCAATGGATGCGACAATGCATCTCATCACCAGACAATCTCTCTAGCATTGTTCCATTCTCTATACGACCCTTTATGAAGTCATTCTTGTTTCTTCTAAATGGATGATCCGATGGCAAAAACTGTCAAAGACAATTAAAAAATGATGTCTTCCGACCGTGTTCCAACCAAAAGGCCTTCAAATTTTCCATGCAATAAGGACAAGCTAATTTACCATATGTGCTCCACCCAAACAACATTCCATACCCAGGTAAGTCACTAATGGTCCACATAAGTGCAGCCCTCATCAGAAAGAATTGACACCTAAAGCTATCATAAGTTTGGACTCCAGAATACCAAAACTGCTTTAAATCATCGATTAGTGGTCGAAGCATTACATCAATATTCTTTCCAGGACTTTGGGGACCCTGGATAATCAATGAAAGGAATACATATTCTTGCTTCATGCACATTGTTGGAGGCAGGTTTTAAACTGAGACAAATACTAGCCAATGAGAGTATGTAGATGCAGAATGTCCAAAAGGAGTGAACCCATCAGTGCACAGACCTAACCTAACATTCCTCAGTTCACTAGTAAACTCAGGGTGAGTATTGTCAAAATGCTTCCACGCCTCTCCACATGCAGGATGAAAAATTTTCTCATTTTCATTGTAACAATTTAAATGCCAGGTCATATGCTAGGCAGTTTTCCTAAACATATACAATCTCTGAAATCTAGGAATAATTGGAAGATACCATAAAGACTTTCTTGGTATAGGCTTAGCAGCTTAAATCATGGCTTTTCACATACCGGGCACTGTAAATAACACTGACTTTCATATTCTCCATAATACAAAATGCAATTATTCATACAAACATCATACTTTTTATACCTGAGACCCAGACGCCTCAACATCTTCTTGGCATTATAATAATCTGTTGGCAATTTCTCCCTATCAACTTTTTTGAAGGCCATTAGACTACGCTTTAGCACATAGTCCCAATTAGTAACACTCATTTTAAGAAGTGTTTTTGCACTCATGAGCTCACACACCCACTTTAAGATAGTGACACCATTATCACACCCTTCAAAAAGAGGTGTATCAGCTGCCCGCAAAAGATCAAAGAACTCTTTTGCATCTCCACTTGGCTCCTCAAATATCGATTATGTACTGACACCATATGGATCATCAAAACTAGCATCAAATTGTGCTGCACCTTCTACCCCTGTGGCACTATTTTCATTATTAAAAAAATTTGGTCTCATGGCATCATGAAGCATGTCTCTGAGTTGATCGACACTTGGAACATTATTCATAGCAGCAACAGTAGCGGCACTTGATGATTCACCCACTTGGGTGCAATGCCGTTTTCTATGAATAATTTCTCTGTGTCTTTTCTAAATAAAATACCCATCCATGAAGCCGTTCTTAATAAGATGAGATTGCACTTTGCATTGATGATGCCATTCTCTATTTCAATACTTACTACATGAACACCAAATCATATTCTTTGCACAAAACATCGAGTCCGTTTGTGAGAATGCAAAATCTAAGAAAATCTCTACCCCAACATTAAATTCATTGTTCCAATACCTCATTTCATCTTGACGACGATACATCCAACTCCGATCTTCTCCCATAATTAAGTAGTACGTGCCTTAAAAATTCAATAATATCTTAATATTATATAACAAGCACTAGAATCATAAATATCAATTTTGGTCCATCAACTTTATGATTTTACACAATTTTCATCCCTCAACTTTTTTTTGCTCATATTGGTCCTTCAACTATAAATAATGTACATTTTTAGTTCTTCTGTCAATAAAGTTTCTTTAGCACATTGATAAAAAGACTAAAAATGCAAATTACTCATAATTGAGGGACCAAAATGAGTAAAAAAAAGATAAGGGACAAAAATTATGTAAAATCTTAAAATTGAGGAATCAAAATTAGCATTTATCCTTTTAAAATTATATATGCTACAATAATATATATAATTACATTTTTAACCAACTAAAAAT